TTTAGCAGCAAGGCGCTGTCATCTGCACACGACTACTCTCCGTTGAGAAACAGTTCCTGACCATCTACTGTACCTCAATGGTAAGCTTGAACATCTCCCTGCTCTCTTGGGCTTCTTATGTCTCGGAACCAACAGACTAAAAAGCTTTCCTGTTGAAGATAAATGCTCAATCCTCACAATACTAAGGAAAGATTAATTCAGCTCATCCTTAGAAGGATTTCAGTCTGCTGTTAGCTGGGTCCAAGGCAGGAATATCTTGGCAAAAGTGTGAGGTGGAGCAAAGCTATTGAATTCATAGCTGCTGGGAAGCAGAGCTGGAAACAACAGCAGACAGGAGTGGTTGAGGAACCATAAATCAGCACCCAGGGCCTCACCGCGATGGCACAGCTGGACATACTGAGGAGCATGGTTTGCTTATCTGCTAAGGTTTTGTCAATGAAAGATATTGAGAGGTCAGGATTCATGGTCACAATGAATTACAGTTTTGACTGATTCACATTATGGAAGAGAAAATTAGACTATACTCCACAATGGAGATAAGGAAGAACTTTTCAGAAAGAAAGATATCCTAGAGTAATCTAGTAGTACCATTCCCTGGTACTAAGGTTATATGGGAAACTAAAACAACCCAATCTAGCACAAATGTCTGATCAGCCAGAACTCAGAAATGTCAGGCAAAGAACCAACTGAAATGTTTGGGGAAGACCGAGGGAATGCAGAACAGGTAGTAGAATGAGGTAGTTACAAATACCACTCTTGACCCCCATGTGACCTCGGTTATAGACATGATGATTGTCACGAGTCTTTTTTACTTTTTTTATGCTTGTGCACATATACGCTTACATTAAGCATATTTTCTTTTGTAACATCACATGGATTGTTATAATATGATAATTTTATTAGTGCTAAATATACATTTTAATATTTAAGTTATGAAATATCAGAGAAGAGTGTACATTAGAAAATACCATTGATTCTGTGGAGGAAGTGAGTATATTTCTGTTTGTGTGCAGCATGATTGTATCACTTTAGGCATAATTATGAACTTATTAAATTTGGAGATAAAAATGATTTAAGAATATATATATATATATATGCTAACTTCATATATTTATGTTATATATATGTTATATATAACACAGCATGATATATATATATATATATATAAACATGGTAGCTTGTGATTGTAAATGGTGATATGTCAATTTGCCTGGAGCCGGCATGTGTAGTTTCCACCATGGACTCACAACAGCTGTCACTAAACCTCCGGTCCTTCAATACTAAGACTGGAGCTGCATCCTAGATTGCTTATTTGTGTGGTTTCCCTTTTGGTGGCTGAGAAACCATTATAAATCATCCTACTTCTGATCCTATGAGCTTACCTAACAAATCCATTGCATAATTATACATATATTTTCTATTAATTCTATTCCTCTGGAGAATCCTAACATAGAGAAACATGTAGAAATAGAAACATGTGTAAGATACTTGTCATTATATATTAAAATGCATTTTATTATATTGTTTATTTCAAATAAATATATGCTCCCAGACAATATCTTCTCATATTGTATACTAAAGGGAATTTTGTTTTCAACAAATTAAATTAATATGTATCTCTTCCAATTCCATATGTGTTCTATTTGGCATTTTCCACTTTCCCTTTGATTACAAGTGTTTTGATTCCTTATTTGAAAACAGCAAATGTTTTAAAAACTTGGAAATCTAAAGTTTTAATTATAAAGTATCTTGTTTATCATGCTTTACACACACACACGCACATGCACATGCACGCACGCATGCACACACACACACACACATACACAATGCTGAGCATTTCCTAGCCAGAATCAAAGGTACTTTTTCTTGTATATAATACCTTCTCTTCTCTGTTATTTCATAACTTAAATATTAAAACCTACATACTCCTGAGCTTCAAAGAAAGAAAACAGAAAATAACTATAGTACTTTATGATACAGCTTTATGTAGATGCAGGTTGCAAAGATTATCATTCACTATTGAGTTAAGGATGATGACTCTAATGAAAGTAATGGCAATTTCAGACGCTGTAGGAAGAATCAGAAAATAAGTCTACTTGTCGGTGGTAGAGTTGCCTACATGTCATTAGACTCTTGACTCTTTCAACTTTACTGCTCTTTTTAAATAGTTACCTAGAGGATAGATGAAGGTTAATGTACAACTTGAAAAGAGAGAGATGTTGTAAACCAGAACAAATTTTTCTAAGCCAACAACGATGCTGACATAGCCTTTAGGCTTCTTGTACTATATGATGATGCTGACATCAACTCCTCACCTTTCTTGGACATATGGATTCTTAAGGTTTCCTTTTCTATCTTCACGTGGCACTGAGCTAAAACTTCTATATCTTGACTTTTCACTGTTTCCTCAGCTAATTCATTTGAGTGTGAGAAGTAGTGGTTTGGTCCTATTATTTTCCTAAGAATCTATCCATTAGATAGATAAATCTATTTATTTTTAGAGTGCAGATCTACTTTTGAACATCAGTACAGAATGACTGCAGGCTAGGTGCTTGCTAGAGGATATAATAACCTTGGATTGTTTCTGTCTTCTAGAAGAAATAATAATTAAAATGATTGCATGAAAAGTAATCTAGTATTGTCACAATTCAAGACTTTGCCTGCAGAATGTTAAACCATCAGAAAGCCCTCATTTGAAATGCATTATTTTAATTGTGTTGCTTTTATTGTACTTGATATTGAGATCATTTTGAACTGCATTGGTAAACAGCAAAAGCAATGATTATGAAATTCTTTATTTGCCTCCTAGAGAGGTACTGAGGTTAAATTTCACAGGATCACATACACACCTTTTGTGATCATTCAAGAGAATTATGATTCAGAACATTGTGCCAAGAAAACTTTTACTTTTGCTGAGAAATTGATTTATTGTTGTCGCATAGTATTAATCTACAAGTGACCATGTTTTCAATATTTACTAACCCAAATGAAGACCAACTTTAACATTTTAAACTTCATAAAGTATATTTTTGTGATATTTTTTTCTTTTGTTTTTTAACATATTGTCTTTTCCCCTGGATCTCACTTGATAGAAAATGATATTTATGTTTCTTCACCTGACATATTTAGCATAATAATCTCTATTTCCATCCATTTTTCTTCAAATGATATATGTTGTATTTTTGGAGTTTATTAACAGTCTGTTGTGTATATTTACCACATTTTTACATATGCACATTCACAAATTTTATAACTTGGCTATTGTGAATAGGGATACAGTAAACATGAGTATTTAGATATCTCTGTTGTATGATGTTTGATATTTTCATGTATAGTCCCATGAATGGTACAGCTGATTTATATAGTGGTTCTATTTTCTGTTTTTTGCAAGCCTCCATGTTTTCTTATTAGCTATATGGATTTTCTTTCTTATGAACAGTGCATAGAGGTTCCTTTTCCTCTTATATCCCTGCTAATATTTGATAACAGCTATTCTGACCAGGGCGAGATATAATTTCCATATAGTTTTGCTTTATATTCCTCTGGTGTCCAAGGAGTTTGAACAACCTCTTCAATATATTTATTGGCCATTTCTATGTAAGAATGTCTGCTCAGCTCATCTGCTCATTTATTAATAGGATTATTTGTTCTTTTGGAGTTGAATTAATAAACTTTTTTTCCTACAAAATTCTCTTATGTATTTTGAATATATTTTTATGTTCTTTAAATATTGTAATAATATTCTAATAATATTTTAAAATATACTTACAAATAGCTTCAAATGCTACATGAAAAAGAATATATACTTATCCATTTATATTTATACATATATGTATAAAGTATGTAAAAAAGATCTTACATAATAACAGAATTTGAAATTACCTTTAAAGTTGATATTTTTTTAACTTAGATATTCATACAAAAATAAATGACAGAATAAAAAAGTCTTTTAGTTTAAAAATATTGGTCAAAAATGTGATATGCATCACAAAATATTAAGAGATTGCAAAGAAGGAAAATAAAATGATCTCTATAAATACAAAGAGAATTAACCCTTATATTCACATTTAAAGAAGAACGGAAACTAGTCCTTTAGTAAGAGGACTTGACAGGCTTCCTTTGTGTCACACACATAACTGACTCTGCTTACCTGGTACTTTGAATGACCATGTGCTAACTAACTGCTTTTTTTTCCCTAGAGATGGAACAAAGTTTTCATTAGTTTGCACTGGAAGGAGTTTTGAACTGTGGAGAAAAGAGTCCACAGAAGGTAGCTGCCTGCCTTCCCAGACGGCAGATCTTAGGGATCTTGTCCGCATGTATGTATGATTCAGATAGATGGTTGCCAGATCTTCAAGAAAGCTTTTCTTGGGTTAGAAGCCTGACAATGTGCTGTGGGATCTTCCACTATATATTTCTTCAAAACAGAGAAGAAAGACCTTACAAGTTTTCTAAGATAAACACTCAGAGAAAAAGGAAGAGATGGAATTTTTTTCTTCTTTCCAATGGAAAGAATTGAGCTTCTCGTTGTGAATTTGTTTCCTTTTAAATTCTTAAATACATTAAAACCATAACTAAAACGTTCATAATTCTTTAAAAACACCACATTACATGTAATTTTGCTATATTATTACTTCATTAAAAATACCAAAATCTCTCTCTTTTCTTAGTATCTGTCTTAATTGTTGTAATCCACTACATACAATGTATCTAAAAGTGTACCTTGCCTTAGTAAATGGTCTTATACGTTTTATGTGTTCTTTGGCCTATTCGTCTGATTTAACTTTATAAATTCTTACAAGATAAACATGATCTGATGCTGGTTATATAAAAGAAGAGTAGACAGAAGGACAAAACATGAAACTAAAATATATTATATATAGATACCAACTCCCCACAATGAATGTAGACATTATATACTGCAAACATGTAATAGTAAAAGTCAAAAAATACCATATCCTTAAATTATCTGGAATATTAGACAGATCTTTCTCACTTACCGATAAGAAAATAATCAGTTGTGTAGGTCTCCAGGTAACACAATTATGATCTGACCTGAAATCTGAAAAGACTTGTATTAATAGCCTAATTTCTGGTTTTGAATAGCAGAGATAAATGCATCCTAGCCAGGTGATACGGAAAGAAATCTGGCTCCCTTTTTCCTGGATATTGGGCTAAACTTGAAATTTTGGCAGATAGGAATCTCTGATTTCTATCTCACAGTTTCTCCACTTTTTTTCCACTCTTACATTCTGGCACTCTGAATTTTGTAGCTACCTAGATTTTATCCTTTGAGACCATTTTTGCTCTCTTTTATTTTTATCCAGTGTATATCATATATATATTTACTAATTATTCTTCTTCATGTTAACTCCTTCTCTTATTTTCCTGTGCTTATGCTATGTCAGTTAAGTATTTAAAGATATATAATCTGATTGAAAAAATTTGAATATTTGTGTGAATACTTAAAAAAACTATAGCTCTCTTAAATATGTTTATTTTTAATACAGAGGAGTGTTATATTATCTCAAATTTTATCATTGTGGCAGGATATCAAAGCTGTGTCAAGCTATTTTGGCTGCAGGTGCATCACCACAAAGACACATTAGTTCAGATTTATTCCTTGTCTTCGGGTACATTTGTCTGTAATTCTCGAGTTGTGTGACTTGCAGGACGATGTCTTTTCACTTCTCGTGGCCCTGCAGTACTCTCTTTGGCCCAGGATGTCTGTTAGTTTCACCATGTGTCCACAGTGCTGCGCAGGAGCAGGGCAGGAGGAGGGCCTTGGGAGCAGGCTCAGCAGCAGGCCTGAAGGAGCAGCCTCCAGGGGAGACTGTAAACACATGACTCCTCAGACACATACCCAAGGTAGTGAGAAACACAAAGGAGCACGGGGAGTTTCCCGCAGAAAAATTGGTTTGTTTTCTGTCAAAATTAATTTAATGAAGAAAAGAAACAGCACCTTTAGATTTCATTGTAGTGCACAAAAATAGCAGCAGCTTTCCTTTGTAATTGTCTTTATCACTCATGTTGCAATTAGTTGAGCCTAATTTGCCTCTGCCATGTTACCAGCAGATAGATTGCAAAGCACAGAGAACGGGGCACTCCTGTGTTAAAAATTATTAGGTATGGAATTAACCGTCTAGATCTAAATTCTTTTAAGTTTTAATGAAAAGGTTTCAGGGTTCCCTTATTTCCAGGGCAGAGAAATGCTTCTGAAATTTTTGAAGGTAGATGAAGAAGCAAGACAATTATGTTCTTGATAATTAAAAGTATTGTTGTAGTAGATGGAGGAGAATCATACAAAAAAGGCTGTGTTTACTTGAGATGAGAAGATGGGAAAATCAGTGGAGACTAAGATGAATGAGGATTATTTTGCAGGCATACCTTTTAGAGGTTTATTGGTCAAAAGACTGACTAAAATCAGTATATTGAAGATCTTTATTTTTTTACATCATAACAACTTTTTTGATAAAAACTCCGTATTGAAATGTCTTTTCCCATCTTCTTTTAAACCCTAGAAAGATAAACTTGAAAATAAATATAAGAATCATATATGTGCACTACTATTTTTTTAAAATTACATTACTTGTGAAATAAGATATATTTTAAAATGTGCAATATTCGCTTAAATCTCAGACATATAGTTTATGTAATTCAGTCAGTGAAAATTGTTCTATATGTTCTTTCTATCTGAACAGATCTGTTAATGACAATATAGTAACAATAAGAACAAAAAGATATTAATAATACAGGTGCATATTAAGAAGTTCTGAGGTGCCAAGCGTATATTCTTCAGCACTCTTCCTACACAAAGAATGTGCCTGGCTCATCAGGAAGGAAAGGAAGCAAAGAGGCAGAGAGGAAAGGGAAATGTAATGTGAAGTTCACTGCAGCATGCACCAGACAGTGAAGACAGCCATGCTGGTTTCTCTTGGCCCATTGAGAGGAAAGTTTTGTTGGTGATTTTCTGGACAGTGTTTCAGGCCTCTATCTTGTACTCTGAATAACTACAGTGTATACAACAACGTACCATGCGTGGGTTATTGTTGCTTTCCTACTAGCCTGTTTTGAAACTGTTTCATTGTTATTTATCTATTTGTATTTTTACTTTTTCATGTTTAAAAAAAAATATGTGGTTAGCAGCTAATAGACACTATGCTTTAAATTGAGACAAAATATGATTTTTATTCTAATTTAATTATCAGGTAATTTTTATGGGTACTTTTATGAATAGTACTTTGATTTCAATGAGCACAGATAGAAATATGGCGTGTTGCAAGCAAGCACAGTTTAAAGTACAGTGTGATTTGAAACCCCGCATCTCATCTATGTGCCTCTTGTGTTTAGTGTCACACTCCTCTTCTTACATCGGGTTGAAAACTCCTTCTGCATAGCACCCTAGTGGCCCGCTGCTGCAAGCTCCTTCTTTTAATTGTAAGACCTTCATGATTCGGCCCTTCACAACTTCTTCTTCCTGCTGTATACTTCTTCTCTGTGTTAACAATCCAATGGAACCAACTCCCTTTTGTTTTCTCAAGTTTGAGAGCTTTGGTATTTTTCTTTTCCTTCTAATAATACTTTACCCTATGTATTAGGGTTAGCTGTCTTAGAATAGCCATTCCTGACAACTTTAATGGCATTTCCTAGAATCACAGTCATTGTATTTATTCTCTTGCTAATTGTCCAATTAATTGATTACAAAGTTGCTTGGCTTTCTTTCCCACTAAATATTAAGTTTTTATAAAGGTGGCAGTATCTCCATCTATTTCAACACTGAGTTTAGGCGATTCCATATTAAGGCTCTGAAGATGTCTGCATATTTATTGAACAAGGTATTATGAATGGCGGCTTAGACTAGAAAGGAGTTTTAGCTGTCAAAGTTGAGCTCCATATTAGGTACAGACACTGGGAATTGAAATGAGTTTGAACACTCCAGAAAAGCCAGCATATTAATAACCCAACATTCTGCGCAATGATTGCCTGAAGAAAGACAGAGATTACATACTCATTTATAGTCACATGAAAAGAATGTAGGCTGTACCTGTAATAAACACAGAGATTACAGGCAGATTTGCAGGTTTAACTTATGAAAATGTTGGCTGAGTTTCCTCCTTACGTCAAAATTGAGATTATGGCAGAAAATATTGCTAGAGATATCCATAGGGTTTTTGGAACTGTGAAGCAGATTCTCAGGAAAGTGGTTAACTTAGAAAAAAAAAAATAATTTGGGGTCAAACAAGTGACTAATAATAAAAGTGACTATTATGCTGAAATTTGACTTCAGTTTCAAGAAATACTATCCAATGAACTTTGCATAACTATAAGTTTATATTGCTTCTCGTTGACTCAGATTTTAACATACATGTGTTAGTTTGTATACATTTAAAAACATGACTCTGAATTTTTTTTGCATTTGCTTTGGCAAGACATTTTGAGAAACTAAAATGTTTATGTTAGCTATTCCTAAAAATTTAGGCTTTAGTTTGAGGGTCTGGTTTTACGCCACACATATTACCATTCTTATTCTTCTTTGCCAATGTACAGACAAATGTGTTGCTGCTCAAAACTGTTTGAAAGCTGCAAATACCACTTGCCAAAGTAACATGTGAAGCCAAAGACTGAAAGTGCTAACTTGTGCTGTAGTTACAAAGAAGAGTCCTACATTAATATTAAAGTCAGTAAAATAGTCACTATTAAGACACATTGAGGTTAAAAAGGTCAGTACACTGCAGAGTATGCTAAGCATCTGAGAGTTTATGATCTTTTGCTTCTGAAGAACATTGTATTCAAAAAGAAAATCCTGTACAACTTTGAATGTCCTGGCAGCTCAAGACATCTATGCTTCCTGTGAAGTGTGGTGCTGCTTCTTGTTGAAATGTACCATTACAGACAGAGGGTCTCAGAAAGAGTTGTTTAAGGAGAAAAATTGAGGCAGCAAAAGGAGGATTGGGCATTTGTAAAAGAGTACCAAGTTTATGAGCAGCCCTTCAGATAGTTTTATTAAAAATTAGCTGCATCAATATACACTTAATATAGATGAAGTTTTAAGAGCATTCTGTATGACTTTTCTAAAATTAATTTTTGGGCAGCTAGGTGCTATAGGGCACTTGTTCACACTTATTAACAGTGTGTGATTCAAATGGGTTTAAGGAGGATGCTTTTCTCTTTTCTTTTTCCACTGTTGAATTCAGAAACAGTGCTCACATTTACATTTTGTGCTTGCAGATATATATATATATATATATATATATATATATATATATATAGAGAGAGAGAGAGAGAGAGAGAGAGAGAGACAATATGATGCATTTCTCTGTTACTAATTTTGTGTTTTACTAACAAAACTTAGTTAAGTAAATGTGATTTGTTTGCCTGTTCTTATTACTGTGAAGTCCTCTCTGTCCTGGGATAGTTAAAACTGTTTTTGTTGGGGTTTTTTTGTTTGTTTGTTTTTTTTTGGTTTTTGCTTAACGAATCTTCCTTCGTATAATGTGTATATCCCTCCAGTGTTTCTAAATACCTGTTTTTATTCTTTCTTTCATCGTATAACCTTAATGGTTGGAACCCAACTATTGTACATTTTCTTTGCCCTTTCCATTTGTTATATCTCACAGTAACTCTGTGTGACAATATGAAAGCCGTTTAAACTCAATGCTAAGATGTAGCTATCTTTTTTACTGTGTCAATTATTCTTTGCACTTTTTCTCTATTACTGATTCTTTGGTTTTGTCATTTTTTTCCTAGATATGAAGAATATTTTCCTACTTTTGTTGGAGACAGAAATTTTGGAGGATTTACATTTCAAACACTGCTAGCCAGTTAAGTTGGCCAAGCATTGAAATCAAGATATTTCATTTTATGTAACACATGATAGAGAAAAAATAGAATATATGTTTCTTGGTTTGATGGTGGGCTTAGATTTCTTAATACATGGGTAAACAACATTATTTTGAAAAATATGTAACTTAATTTATTTAACTAAATTTTCTACACCTTCTTACCCTAAGGTAAAGTCTGCTCCTCTGTGATAAAATGTAAAACATCTTCCTGATTCAGACT